TTTCCCGTTTTGGCCCCCCAGCAACCGTAATCACTGACCGAGGAGTACAGTTTGAGTCACAACTCTGGCAGCACCTCCTACAGTTCCTCGGCACGTCTAGACAACGCACTACAGCATACCACCCTCAAGCCAACGGCATGGTAGAACGTTTTCACCGGCAGCTGAAGGACGCACTCAAGGCACAGCACGACCCTTACAGCTGGACTGATGCGCTTCCCTTAGTGCTCCTCGGCATCCGTGCGTCACACAAGGAGGATATGGATTGTAGCCCAGCAGATCTGACACTAGGCGAGCCCCTTCGGCTACCCGGGGATTTCTCACTCCCTCCTGATCCCAACCAAACCACTCCAGCCGTTCGTCACGACTTACTCCAAAAGCTACGACAAGCAGTTTCTGCATTCAGAGCTACTGCTCCACGCCAGCCTACTCGGCGCCCTGAACACATCCCTCCTGCACTACTCACAGCCGAGTATGTTTTCGTCAGGCATGATGCTCACCGCAACCCATTACAACGCCCCTACGATGGACCCTTCCAGGTGGTTACCCGTTCTGCAAAGTTCCTGACAATTATCCGGAATGGCAGACATGACACCGTCAGCATAGACAGAGTCAAACCGGCCACCTTACCCGTCGGGCCCCCAGCCCAGCAGCACCATCAACAAACTACGCCTGCACCAGTCCACCCGCAGTTACCACCGGCAGCAACACCACGCCCACGACATTTCTGGGCACCCTCTTTTCACCCTCATGTACAACCTGCTCCTGTCATAGAACCTGAACCTGTAATAAACCTCCCTCCTATCATAGAACCTGCTCCTGTCATAGACCCTCCTCCTGTCATAGAACCTGAACCTGCTCCTGCCATGGACCCTCCTCCTGACGCAGCCCCTGCAGCAGCAGGAGCACAACAACCATTGCTTGTACAACCTCCTCTAATCCCAAACCCTCTTTCTCCTCCTAATTCTCCCACAGGTTTTGTGTCACTGGACGGAGTTGTTACACGTAGCGGTCGAGTCGTACATACACCTGCCCGGTATGTGTTATGTGTGGGACACAACCCGGGCAACATCCAGCCTCCCGCCGCGCCTGGAGGGGAGGGGGAGTATTGTAGTGGAATTCTCCCCTACAACTGCGTCGCAGCCCACCACCAAGCGTATCCGCATTCCAATGTGCCGCCTCCCCTAGCAACCAAGCGAGAGCTGTCCCCAGATGTTACCGTATCTTAGCAACGAAACTAGTCACCGGCTACTTCTCGGGTTTTCCCAACATGACTCATAGAGGACTGGCGGCTGCTGCCGGGTGTATATAAGCTCTGTCTCTCCATTGAGATTCATTCTGCCCATTTTCCTGAACAAGCAACATCTCCTCCAGCAAGCTCCACGCTGTTAACATTTCATTCAACCAGGAGGCCAGCAACAGGCAACACCTTCTCTAACGAAGCTCCTGCACATCTACCTCCTTCAACACGATACTCCCGAACGTCTTCTACTGAGCTGCTCCCCACCACACGGCACCTCCAGCACCAGACTGTCTATCATATAACTTATATATATTATATAAGAAAACCACATTAGAATTTCCTTTCATCCTGAGTGCTAGACAACATTAATATCTCGATACCCCTACACTGTATTTAACTGATTTGTTATTTTTCATATCTTAAAAATATCGACAAGATAATACTTATCCGTTATCACACATACCATGAGTTTATGAGGTATCCTTCCCTGATGGTGGTCTTTAAAAACCGTTCCATTAAGCAAGATTTCACCTCTGCATCTGTGTATGGTAAAGCGCAGAAGCATTACAGCGTCTTACCGGGAAGCATGTGGAGTTCGTGTTAGTTTCCTTAGACTTGAATGATGAAAGGCCGTGAATGCATGAGGAACCATTGGCTGTGTTAGCAAGTTACTTATAGTGAAGGATGGATAAAATATAGGGAGGATATGTACAGGATCACTTGTTTAAAGTAAAGTGTGGCAGATCCCCACAAATAACGAACTGCCGCCAGCCAGGTCCGTCTGTAGGAGGGATATTTGGTCTTGGGGCGGGAGGTCTGCGGAGGATCACGTGCTGCAGGAGGAAGCGTCAGAACGTGCCAAGATGTTGTGAGGGAGGGTAGGAGGTTGGGACGCCCACAAACATTACCTGTAGTGTGGCAAGGCTCCCTGTACCCCCAGCAGTACCTATATCCAATCACCCGTTGTATACACAATTTGTTGAGACTGAATTAGGTGCAGATTCTTTTTAATGGTGGTTGTCTCTTAACTTTTATCCTCTTCGCCACTGATCGGCTCAATAGCCGCTTTGGCAGTTGGTCATGTCTGTTACGCACTGTTGGCAAGTACTGGGCATGCACTGGCTCCTGAATGTATCTAAACCTGCTCCAGTGTTAGCCAAGTCCGATCTCGAAAGAGTCCACACTCGGTGCCGTCACAACACTCTCTGGCAGATTGTTCCAAGAGTTCAAAATTCTCACTCCGAAAAAGTTTACTCTTACAGTTTTCTGGACTTGTAGCCTCAACCTTGAGCTGTAACTCCTTGTAAGGGGGGCGTTCGCCCGCTCCAGGTATGGACACTTGACTTGAGTAGTGCCCTCCGAAATGTTTATACACCTCAATTAGGCCTCCTCTTGCCCGTCTGTAGTATAAGCTAGGCAGTTGCAAGCGTTGTAATCTCTCTGGGTAGCTGAGGGGCCGTAGTGCAGGGACCAGTCTGGTGGCCCTTCTTTGGACATTTTCAATCAACTGACAGTCTTGAAGATCGCCTAGATATCTGAACGACCTTCTTATAAGACCTGCTAGTTTCGTTGCTTGATTCGCCTTCTCACACTGGCCCGAGAACCTAAGTCATTGTCACCATACATACCCAGGGTTTTTTTCACATTCGGTCTCCATTGCAATACGCAGTATCCTAAAATCTAAGATTCGTCTCAATGTTGGTGGAAGTTCTCAGGTTAAATGATGTATAATATATCCAGGATTTGAGAGTGGTTGAGGAAGAGGGCGATGGGGACTTCTAATGTCCTTTTCATGTGTTGCTTTTTTGGCGAGGTGATCTTCTTCGTCACGGGCAGCAATACCTATGTGAAAGGAATACAAAGAAATTTAACTTGGATGTCATTAATTGCATCTCGGCTGGAGATGGCAGCGAGGCTGTGTTGAAAGACGGAACAAGCAAATGTTAAGGAAAGCGTTGAGCCTCGCTGGCGCAGATGTACTGTTGCTGATGTTAAGCTGTGGGGTGCGTGATGTTTGGATTCTCTCACTCAGGATGGGATGGAGAAAGGAAACTCACAATGTGCTCTCTGTATACATGTTGTATTGGATGTACAATGCAGCTTGGTGCTGGGAAGTGGCAGCGTGGTTACAAGCGTGATGTAGAGAGAGCTGGTTGGTGAGGGTGCTCAGAGGAGGACCAGCTTGTGGGTCGTCATGCTCTCCGGCGGGAGCGAGGACCGCCAGGCAGGCGGAGGAGGAGGAGGTGTTGCTGGCTGGTTGGAGTAGGTAGAAGAAGAGAGAGATCACCACGAGGTCAGATCTTAAATAGCGGGGGGTAGGCGTGGCTTAGTAGTTGACCCCCGCTCCGTGGGCGGCGCTGGTTGACCTAGAGTCCTAGACCAAGAGGCATACACTGTGGAATTCGCGGGGTCGGCTACTCAGCGACAAACAGCGTTTGTAGGGGAGAAATCCACTACAAAGCTTCCAACATATATGCTAACTTCCATCCAGTTATTGTCCTTCCACTGAACCTTTTTCACCCCTGTCACTTGGGAGTTATGTATGTATATAATTCAGTGCAATTGTCTGCAGCCTTTTCATGGACACTGTCTATGATAGCTAAGTATTCAGTGAATGAAAAAGAGGCGCAGCCGTGGACCTAAATCTACGGGTTCAGGTTCAGGAGTCTAAGATGTCTGAAATAAAAACGCATTTCGAATGCACCCGAGGAAGGATTTTCTATAGCAAAAAATATGCCTCTAACGGCAGGCACCACTTAAAGTTTACCAAATGAATCTATGAAACCCATAATTTGTGTATTCTGGCACTGTGGTCCTTTCCCTCGAACAAGTGTAAAGTACAAAGTATAACTTGTTCTGTTACGCACTTTGAATAGATATCACCACTAGATGACCGTAGATACAGTGCTATATTCAACACTGCGTCAAATGTCAATGTCACAGCTAGGGGTCAAAAGTCACAATTTGCCAATGGGAGGAATTTGTACTGTGATACACATGTACAGTATAGTATTATGCATTCAGAAACAGTAACGCAGGTCCAGTAACAGATACTACAAACTGCATTCATTTAATATGGCCCACCCAGGCACAAGTCACTGACCCTCATCGGGGCCTGGGGGATGGGAGGGGGGGGGGTGGTAATATAATACTGTACTAATAAAAATTAACGAAAAAGTATAAAAATTACAATAAAAATATAAAAAAAGATAAAGAGTGAGAAACGATAAATGTACTGTATGTTGTGTTGTCAAAGTAAGAGAAACAAATGAGTAAATGAGGCAGAGAAGTGACCGATCGCCCAAGCGACTAACGAGCCGATCAGTGGTGAAGAGGATAAAAGTAAAAGTACACCAAGACAACACATTATGCTTCCAATATCTTCCCAGGTGGTAGTACCTTCTTGTTTGATAACTGCCTGCTACCTACTGTTTCATTCTACACCATGATAAACTAAGACATGAATTTCACTCACATCATTGTTCCCTCCTAAACTCTACCATATCATTTCTTATTATGATTGTTATTATTATTTTTTTTTGTAATTTCAACATTTTGATTTTTCTGATATTGTTTAGTGGGATAATTTTTTTCAACAAATATTTATATAAATTTGTGTGTTGTGTGCAGGTGTTTTCACCAATTGCTCACCGACAAAATGCAGACTATTAAAATTTATGAGGTTCTATTTGAAGTCAGTTGGATTTTGTGTGCATAAACTACTCCTTGTCACCGAGAGATAATGTTACCTGTATATCTGTTGAGTTGTGAACGTACACAGGATGCTCACCATTGTAAACAAACTTCATAGGGCGTCTCACCCCAGGCACACCACCTGACTTACAGATACTGGACCGATTAACTCATCTAATTCTTTATGAACTGACAAACATTGGCCGGTTAGTACTTCAGAAATGTTTCGGGAGTGTGAGAATAATATTAAATATTTGTGGTAGCTAGTTATATCACTAGTATAAGTAGTAGAAAGTAAGGCAGGTAAGGCGTCACCGTGCTTCACTATCACTTGACCACACACATCCAGGTTAATTACTCATCGTGTGCGTCATGAACTGGGGAAATTAAGTTGTACAGTACATAAAATCATTAAGTATGTATATTTATACTAGGCTGCTGTATGAGTTATGACTAACTAGTCTCCCAAAAGATCCATTGAGGTCTGTCCCGTATAGATCCAGTGTTAGTTCAGGAGGAAACTGGGCAATTATTCGTGACTAACCTGCGGCCGAAATTGAAAGAAAACGATTTTAAAAACCCCGAATTTTTACTGTTTTTTTTATAGTGGACGCCGTTGTAGTTTATGCAAATGTGTTACAAAACTGTTATTTCTGAAATAAACGTAACTTAACCTTTGTGGGTATGAAAAACAGACCTAACCAACCTAGCCAAACAAACCTACCTAACCTTACCTAACTTCCTTACTGGGGTGCGGACCCCCCGGGATATTTAACAGAAAAAACTTACTATGATGTGGTGTAATTTGAGGCTTTTTTTGGACGTGAGGTCATGTGACTGCATCCGCTCTTTATGCTGCCTGAGTGGCGGAGTGATTTATTGTAATGGCAGGAAACATCGAGCCATGGCTTTGAGGAAGCGATGAACAAATTTCTTTCCTGTTTGAAAGCACAGGGATTCCCACAGTGTGGACAGTCTTTATACAAAGGAATAATGCCGTGGTCTTTGAACAATTGAAAGGTCTTGTTGTCTTTATCCATAAATTGTCAAATTACATCTACAGTCAGTTGTTGACCTATGACGGGGTTAGGGACCGACGACCAGGTCGTAAGTTGAATTGGTCGTAAGTCAAAAATGCGAAAATATTACATAGAAAATCTAAAATTGGTGTCTCTTTTTCTTATCAGCACCACGAGAACTCTCACTTTTACGCTTGCCAACCATTTTAAAGGGAATTACCCAAAAAAATTTTGTCAGTACACAGCGCGATCACTAATGTCGGGACTCTAAAATACGCAATTTGAAAAATATATTATACGACTGCAGCGGTCGTATGTCCAGGTGGTCGTAAGTCGAGGAGTACTTAAATAAGACTGGCGACAACCTTTGCATGTTATGGTGAAAATGAAACCGATCCTAAGCCCACCCATAACCATAAGAATCTCTTTGTATTACCATTTCACAAAAATTTCTCTCAAATTCCTTTACAACTGAAAACCTGGAATGTTAATGTGGCATTTAAAAACTCAAGCACTGTAAAACAAATGTTAATCAAGAACTCCCCCCAACAATGCAGGCGGCTGCATTTACAAGGTTCCTTGCAAGGAATGTAATATGTTCTACTTAGGCTAGACAGGTAAAGATCTTGTAACTAGATTTAAACAGCATAAATATAGTGTTTGGACAGGCCAGGAATCCAATGCTCTGTTCGTTCATATGAGAGATAATAAGCATTGCATTGACTGGGATAATGCCTCCTCAATATTACCTTGTAATTCATTTGTCAGTAGGAACATTATAGAATCCAGTCTCATTAAACACACTGAATTTGCCAACATGAATTTGAGTAATGGTATGTACAAACTGGATAATTTTGTAATTAAGAAGATTTGTAACCAGGTGAGAAGGTTGGATCATATTACCTTATGACCTGACTACGGACAGCTGCTGTGCTTATGAAGATTAGTAGGGTCACTGCTATATATATATATATATATACTGTATATATATACAGTATATAATCAGTGGCAGCTGTTGAGTTACCCTCCTGGGGATACTACAGTTTGCAGTGGTGTAATGGTCAGCACTCTCGCCTTGCAAGCGAGCGGACCCGGGTTCACTCCCCGGGCAGGGTGAAATTATGGGCAAGTTTCTTCATGCCATTTGCCTCTTGTCTACCCAGCAGTAATTGGGGACCTGGATGTTAATCGATTTGCGGATCGTATTCCGGGGTAATGGTTAGCCAGTGCAGTTGGCGAGTTGCCTGGTCTTCTCGGACTATTCCTTGACAATGGGTTATGTAACTCGTTAACTCAGGGTGTGGTTGTTGTGTTGGTGACAGCTTCTCCACCTTAAACAAATTCACGCCTAGGTGGCCCTTGGGCTAGCCATCCTCGTTACACGAGGGGCAACCATTATTAAATCAATACTACATACTGTATTAGGATTCCTCACAATGAAAACTTAAGTTATGGGTGTGGCCTACAAGAATATTTATAAAGAACTTGTGGCAATATCAACGGAAGATCAGAAAATCTTGATCTATACAGTAGTTACACAAGAATATTTCCTACTTGATGTGTAACTGTGTTTGTTGACCCATGACTTTATCATTTAGGATTTCCTGTGTCTTTCTTACGATTGACTTCCTCTCTAGATTATGCAAGAGTAGGTTGCCAGTTCAGTCAGTACAGTAATAATAAAGTGTGCACTGTGTGAAAAAGTCTTTAGCAAAGTGTTATGACCAGTTTAAGTTAAAGAGGTGTTTATTTCATAAATTCAGTGTACACATTGTATAGGTACTGTATATTGCTTGTGGGAAAGTACTTTTGTTTTTCACAAATGAGTTGTCATTTGAGATTTACTCCTTAGTACTACATGTGTGCTTCACATTACTGTGCTGGAAATTACAAGTTTATATTATCAGTTCAACATTTAAATGGAATGAATTAATTTACACAGTGCTGTACATACTGTATATACATTATAGTAAGATTGTAATCTGGGGTGGTTCTTCTTCTGTCCAACTGTTAGATAGGGTGGAATCAAAGGCATTTCGTCTTATTACCTCTTCTCCTTTAGTTGACAATCTTTCTTCCCTTTCTTTTTGCTGCAATGTTGCTTCACGCTGTCTCTTTTACAGGTACGTACTTTAACGGGCAATGTTCGGTGGATTTGACAGCCTGTGTACCGCCGGCAAGGCCATGGGCTCGTAATACACGTCTTGCCCGCGGTGCCCACCATTTCTCTGTGGATGTCGGTCACACTAGATTAACCCATTATTGTGCATCATTCTTTCCTCACACAGCCAAACTGTGGACTGCTCTGCCTTCTTCTGTGTTTCCACACTCATACAATCTGTATCACTTTAAAAAGCTGGTTTTCCGGCATCTTCGTGGTGTAGATTAATACTGTATAACCTTTTCCTTTTCTATTTTAATTTTTTTTTATTCTTATTTTTTCGTTGTCTTGTGCCCGGGTGGGCTATTCACAGTAAAAAAAAAAAAATAATAAAAAAATGTGAGTTGCTTTTGATACATATGGATATGATTCCTGTACAGTGCAGTATTATCATATTGATGACAGTAAGTACTGTAATATTACAGTTCATGATCATTTTCACAGTGTAATTTTTACCTTTAGGTTAATATTTTTGGTGGCATAAGAGGATTTGTTCCTATGTATTTTTCAAGAAATAGTCACATACTTTTTTCATGAACATTAAGTTCAGTTTGTGGACTGATTTTGAATTGACTTAAATGTATTAGTTCAGTCAGTGAGACATATTCATTGAATGAGATACTATATCTGAAACTGTAGTTTTCTTCAAGTCTCATGAAATGTATTAATGGTGGGGAGAAATAATATGAGTTCTCGATAGGATTTTGAAAGTAAGCGACCAGGACTCTTACCAGAAAAAGTAGGAGTCCTAACTTTTATCGATGTAATACAGTATTTTCATTCGGTCTTTGAAGTTATGTTGTACTCAACAGTTATAATGTACAGTACTGTACTTTGTTATGCAAATGCAGGGTTGGCAATTAAAAAGAAATGCCCAATAAGCCTCCTCCCTCCCCCTTAAAAACACCACCTCTGAGTGGGTTTTTTAATGTTTACCTTCTGTTAGGATATTTTTATTAAGGAAAGTTCGGTGCAGCTTTCAGATGGCTGCTTTGTACAATCTTGGATATCTACACAATCGTAGGACTATGCAGCGCAAACCTAGGATACCAGGATAGCATTGCGCATCCCAAGAATCTCTCAGAATTTAGATGTACCGTAGCTAGTATATATATACCGATTAAAGAATTCAGTGTTTTTCTGTAATGCGTTGTTATTACCATTGCTTTAGATTTTAATCCTTTCCTAGTGGTGTAAAAGTGTACTGTACATAATATTACTTGTGTAAAAAGCCATATCGTGCTACAAAACAAGGAAAACTACAAATAGAATTAATTGCAACAGTTGTTCATAGTAAAGATTGTTATGTATTTTATTTTAAAACACAAATGAGTAATAATAATTGGAATAAAAAAATATACAGATGTGTGAATATGGTTGTCACTGTTCAGTTGTGTAGGCAACATAAACAAGCACTACACTGTGGCACACAATTGTGGATTTATAATACAGTACTGTACTCCAATTTCATTGTACCCCTAGATCTGATATTTTCCATGATAGTATACTGTACTATATGTCTATATATGTTAACAAATAAATAATTTGTGTTGCCTTCTTGTGGGACTTAATATTATTAAGAAAATAGTGAAAAAGTATCTTGCAATGTTAAGTATTTGAAAATAACAGATCAGGTGGGATTTTATATTTTTCAGAATCGTTCCTGAAATATGCCATATTCAGTGCTTCTGAGAACCTTGATAATGAAGAAATTATCTATGGGAATATTGAAGTTTTTGAGAGCAAGGTGGCATATTAATATTCTGACAACAGTCTTACCAACATCCAGTTATTTCAGCCTTGTCCCTTTACAGGATGAATGATATGATGTTTACCTTAGAGATATATGCTCTACAGGTACCAATTTTTTTTCACACACTGGATTATATGCAGTACTTGTGATGTGAAATATTTTATCCTTACTGTCACACAGGTGTTGGCTAGGAGAGGATGGGTTGTTGTGGTGACAGTGGGGGTCCCGCTAGGGAGGAGGAGCGACGACCCACAGATGTCCTCTGGCTCTTCATTTTCTTTCTCTTCCTTGTACTTATGGTGAGTAACTCAGTTAGCAGTGTGGATATGTCTCAAAACTTTACCAGTGTGTTATACAAAGATTGCCACAACGAAAAAAAATTGTAAATGAGAAATTATCATAGATGTACAGGTAACATTTCATTAAACTATCCATCTTGCGTGTGTGACAACTTAATTTATGATGAGAAGCCATGTAAATGACTCACTGATATGAGTGTTTGCTAATCACTCTTTTTTGGAGAGATCAGATGAAGAGCTTCCAACCTGAGGCACTAATGGCTCCCAGAAATACAAGATTGCATCTAGCTATGAAATGTGCTTAACACCAAATTACTGTACTAAGGTTATTGTCATTGGTGAAGGTGAAAACTTTTTCTTTGGCATCACAGGAAAAAAATGAAAAACAATAGCTTATTTTCGCTGTTTTCTCCAATTTTATTGTGTTAGCGATGAATATGGAAAGACAAGGTAAGAAGAATGTTTCCAAGAAGCGTTCTGGTGATCAAATTGCCGGTGGTGAACGTAAAAGAGGTTTACAAGAACGCAACTATCGCGTTGTAGCCCGCACCATCTTAGCGACCGCCCGGGCTGCTATTGTGTGCTTTTTTGGATGGTGCTACCACCTGTTGAGTCAAGATAATGGCCTTTACCTCTACTGGGGCTCCTTCTGGTGCTGGTGGGGGTGGTGCACACCCACCTAAGTGGCCAAATAAGGTAAAGGAGAACCGGGATTATGATAAGGGAGTAAAGTTTGCCAAGTACTCGATGCAGGATAAGCAGCGTGTGATTAGGTTACTTGAGGAAGGCCTAAAAACCAGTTTCTGGAAAGCACAATCAGGCCAATAAAGGCAGAATTTATATCATTTGGAGGTTATAAATGGGAAAATCAGAGGTTGATGTAGAATGGCCAGTCTATATTGTTATTTTTCCCATTAGTTTATGTGTTGCATTTGGCGAATTTGAATTTGGCGCAATTTTTCCAGTCTATATTATACTCGAAATAAAAGATCTTGCTGTACAGTACTGTAATTTTGTACATTAACTAACTACTACTGTACTGTAAATTAGTACCTAGCTACTGTAAATAGTACAACTACTGTACAGTAATTTAATACCTGATCACTGTAATTTAGTATCTAACACATTAAAAAAAATAATAAAATATAACTTTAGTACTACTATAAGGGAGAATAACTCTCGTATAGTGAGAAAGAGTGTAATAATAGAATGCAGTGCTGTATTTTTATAGGTGAATACTGTATTCATAGAATGAACATTTGTACAGTGAGAGATAGCTTCCTGCACTGTACTGTATTTCTTTTTACCGTACTTAACTATAGAACTTATTTTTCATAATCTTCCTATTGATTTTCAGATTTTTATAGCTGCCTTTGCATTGGTGTTTGGTAATCCCCTTCGACTAGTGAATGGCTATGACAATTACGGCAATGTGTGTGGGAGTGACAACGCAGACATGAAAGATCATAAAGATAAATTGACAAACTTCTCTGGCCATGACGTATCAGATTACAAGTAAGTAAATGATTCTTAACTGTCACACTGATTATCTTATGTGGTCACCTGAAGATTAGGTATGGTACACCAGCTTATTTCTTATGAATTTCTTACTGCTAACCTAACCCATCTTAACCCCCCAGGTAACATAAGGGTGTTTAATCATTGCATGAAATAAGCTGGGGTACCTTGTCTTCAGGTGATCCTTTAATGATATAATGTAACACTAGTACTCTGTTCAGTGATTTAATTTTTGTTCCAACTATGCAAATCCTTTATCCATACAGCAGGATAAGTCAGTCAACTAAAATAGTCTTGGATTATAGGTACAATACAGTACTGTATACACATAATATATCCACTGTCAACATGAGTGAGGAAAAATTCTTAAAGTGACCAAATGTGTATCCTTTAGATATCCCCAAAGAAACTGATGATACCGGCAACATTTGTGATATCCAGTACATGTTGGTACATACGTATATCTGTGCCTCTTTTGGATATAGAGGTATGTACAGTAATTAATATGGATGATTAAAATATTAATGCCAAAGGTACTTCATGAAATAGATACAGGTACAGTAGGCCCATCAAATTCGCGGGGGTTTGGTTCTCAAAATGGCAGCGAATCGTCCAATCTGCGAATAACATTTGCTGGGGATTTTTTACTTGTGTACAAAGAAATGTATATTCCCTTAATGTGTTTACCCTTAGGACAATTATTTCTTTAACCTGTATTTTGTGTGTGTGTGTGTGTGTGTGTGTGGAACACATAAAAATAAATAACAATGGGAAAATCCTCTCACAAATAATCAGAAACAAATTTATTAAAAATGTGACAGTCTAACCTCAAGTCTACTCTGTGCTTTAATAAATTTGTTTCTGATTATTTAAGAGGATTTTCCCATTGTTATTTATTTGTACAGTATGTGTTTTGTGTGTGTGCGTCAATACACACACACATACAGTACAATACAATACTGTACTGTACATATATACAGTATAATCAGAAACATTTTTATTGAAAATGTGAGTCTACCCTCAAGTCTGCTCCGTGCTTTATTAATAACAAACCACGGAGTAGACTTGAGGGTAGACTCACATTTTTAATAAAACATGTTTCTGATTATTTGTGAAAAGATTTTTCCCATTATTACCTATGTATGTGTTCTGTGTGTATGTGTCTACACACACACACACACACACATACATGTATACAATACTGGTAAAGGAAATTACTGTCTCTAGAATGAAGGGCTCCCTGTTCCAGCTGCGAAAATTCTGGCAACCTTAAAACTACCCACAGACATTCTTGGGTACATCCAGGGTGTCACCCGCGAATAATAGAGGACCGCGAAATAAAAATTTTAAAATTATCCGGGCGTACTGCAATTGAAATTTAGAATTTTTGGCCATCACCCTAAAACCAAGTGTGTCTTATAATACTGTGCAAGGCTACTTATAGCTACAGGCACTTTACTCAGATAAATCCCACAATATAAACCAAGGTTGATTTGCTAATGCCCTGTATTGGTAGATATGGAAAATCAACATGTGTCACATAGCTGTAGATGTGGTATAAGCTTTGAGGGAAAAAATATGAGTACTGTACTGTACTATACTCCGTACATAAGAATTCTTGTTAAAAGATACAGGATGTCCATAAGTTGTCTGACCTATTTTAAAACTTAATGGTCTCAAAAATATTGTAGTTTATTGAATAATTATGCGCACTCTAGTTATAAAAGTAAAATTTTTCTTTTAATGCTTGTCAACGTACATTGGATCATCTTTTACATGTTGCTTAGTCTATGGTGGATTCAGGTTTTCCAAAAGAAGGTGGTCTGAATCATCAATGAAGATGGACTGAGACTCTTTTATAAGATGTGATATTTGTATTGGGTTTTGTTGCTGATAAGTTAGGGTCCAGAGTGGCCAGGTTAGGAAAACCATACAGTAATGGTAAAGAGCCATTTATAACAGAGATCAATAGAGTCCATATCTTGTACCTAAAGAAGAACCTTATCTCTTGGAGGGTCACTTTAACCCTACAGTAAATAAGCATCGAATGGCTGTGTTGGCTGTCCTTTGTCAAATTTTTTTACTCTTTATCATTGTTTTTAATCCCACACTGTCTAGGTACATTTTGTATTACCTGTGCTGTGTATGTTTCTTGTGTACCCACATTGTCTATACATATGATGAATCAATGTAAACTTGTATGACAATTTTACTGAATAAAACTGAACTGGGCTGAACTGAACCCAAATATGGAAAGGGGTGGATACACAATATACACAGTAGACTGAATCGGCCACTGTGTAACCGAAGCATTAATAGTTGGCGAAATACTGAGTAAATTTGATTAGATGTTCCAAGAAAATGTCTTGTTTTAAAAAACCTTCAGATTTTTATTATATTTTTTATTTTCAGGTATGTTCAATTTTTTGATGTGACGAGGCCAAGTGTCTCTCTGAAGGTGTGTGTCAAGCAGTGTCCTGACAGAACATTACACGTCCTCCAGGACATAAATGACTTTTACAAACGTACTGGTTCAAAACTCTGCAGGTATGTAATATGATGTTGCAGGAGAATTGATAACTTGTGTGTTCATCTAAAATGTGCCATATATGAGGTATTCTGGGCAATATCAAGATAAATGACAAAGTGCCTTGAGATGTGTTTATTACACCATAATTTTCAAACTTCCCTCTGGACCAGGGGTTCCCAAGCATTTTCCAGTGCGACCCCATCTAGTGTTGTCACCTATCCCGTGTGACCCCGAGTCATTACATTATACGTATACAGTCTCTCCTCGACTTACGGCGGGATTCCGTTACGACGACCAGGTCGTAAGTCAGACCGACGAAAATAATACGTAAAAATTCTAAAATGAAATACAATACAGTAAAAGTAATCAATTATGAAAAATGAATAAAGTGTTACTGTGCACTTACTTATCTTTAATGTAGCCAGCTGACTGCACACGGGGCCTCAATAATTTTGTAATTAAGCATGGAGACTACATTAATTGGATGAAGCAGAGCAGGAGACAAGGCTTTTGGGTCATCAACTTTGCTTTCTTCAGACAGTCTAATGGACTTACTTGTTGAAGGTATTGAATCATCTTCAGGGAATGAAGAGGCAGCAGTAGTGGGGCATGAGAAGACAGCAGTGGGGGACTTCTTAAAAAATATGTCCAATTTAGACTGCACAGTTTGCCTTTTCTTTTCACTATAAATCTCCCTGTAGCAAGCAAGTGCATCTTGGATCAGTCTGTCACTTTGCAAATCGCTCAACATTAGAATCCATTTCTTCAAACATTTGCATCCCCTTATTAATAGTATCAAATGCCTCTGCCATTTGTTTCACTGAAAACTTTTTGGGGGGTTCAGGTTCTTCTACATTTTGTCTCTCTTTTTCCTCTGCCAATTTCTGTGCCTCCAATTCAATAAGATCCTCGTTACTTAGCTCTTCTGCTACACTTTCCACCAACTGCTCAGCATCTTCATTATCAATTACTAACTCCATCTGCTTACCTATCTGCACTAAATGAAGAAAATATATTACATAATTGAGAAGTGTAAAAGTAAACACTGGTAGAAACAGGTTACAACTCTGTCAAGATTAAATCATCATTTAATGGTCTATACCTGGGGGTATAATTACGTGGTTAAGCAACATAACACAATATTTTTTTAGTTACAACTTGGTCATATTTCATATGTAACATGTGTGCATTATCATTTAATTAATCTTAATGCACATTACATCAGTCATAATTCATATGTAACATTTAATAAATTATCTGGTTAAGCAACATATGCTACAACTGTTTCATGTAACATGTGTACGTCATCATTACGGTAATCATTGTTTATACCAGAACGTTGATTGGTCGATTTTTAACAGCTGAATGTCTCTGATAAAGTAATCCCTAACTTTGCTATGTCATCAGAGATGTCAAAATTCACCCTTGTCTTGTTGTCAGCCTGTAATTCTGACATTTCGAGTGCAAAAGACTTGGTAAGCAACTCATTGAAATTTTCTGCCATTTTCTGTGTGCATCCTTGGGAAGTAGAGTGAACTGAGATGAGAACAGTTAATAGGTATACAGTATATAGGAGTGTGGAACTTCTGTTGTGAAACGTGTCACAGGGCAAGGAGAGTAACTGCGTTAATCCCGTGACCTTAATTTCTGGTCCCAACTTAATGAGATAGCACATGTCGGCCTTATCCTTCAGTTCTTGACTGGATTAAAAAAACAAACACATGTGACTGCTGCAAGATCCAGGTGACCCCATCGACCCCATGACCTCTATGCGACCCCTTATGATGTATGGGGTCGCGACTCTGTGTTTGGGAACCACTGCTCTAGACCGTAACTATATAGTATTTGTCAGTTTTTACTTTTGTTGCTTGTGTACTTCTACCCCAGAGCACCTCATATTGTGCTTCTCAGTCTTGTAAGCCTTTTCCTGCTACTGTGTGAGGTAGATGGAATCAAGGGCAGACACAGACTCTCTCCACCTTTGTTATCATTAATTCACTCTGATTTTTGTCACATCCCAGTAAGCCAATCGGTACTGCCATTCTCTTCTGTCATTCATATGTACTGCTACTTTGTGGATGTTCATCTTTCTCACTTATGGTACTTTCCTCACCCTGTCCTGTCATCTCCCTCACTTATGGTACTTTGCTCACCCTGTCCTTTCATCTCCCTCACTTCTGGTACTTTCCTCACCCTGTCTTTTCATCTCCCTCACCCTATCCTTCCATCTCCCTCCATGTCATACTGGTTGCAGATGAATTTTCCCTTCACCATTCTTTAACTTCCTATTCCATTAATATCCATAGTTCATACTTCATAACACCTTAGTAACCCCTAGTCAGACATCTTTCCAACACTGCCCTCACACCCACCTCTCCTTGTATCTATATATATGATACTCATCTTGTCCTATTCACCCCAGGTAGTGCTCCAAAGCATGTTATTTCTGTCACTTCTGATTTGCTTCTTCTTGGACCCCAGAATCCATGGTTAACTCCTTGACTGTAATTTCAGCTTAATAACTTCTTTGTATGTTGCTAACTTGTATGTCTCCTTTGTCACCTTATCTCTTTGCATATACAGTATTTCGTAATGCAACTATTAAATAGAGACTGTGTATTTATACACTATACTGTCAAGTCTCTTTTTCTGCATAGGCTAGAACCTTCAGTACTTATGGCTGGCACTTTCCAGAGACTAAGTTGGATAATTCAACTGTCTTTAATTTGTTACATTTAGTGTAGTTGCTTAAAATACTGACTCCGTCTCCATTTAATTCGTCATACAGTATCCTCTTTCTTATTCTAAACTGTTGTTTTCACATGTTCACTTATTTATAACATTGTTTAATTCCTTACAGAACAGTTTCTTTTTTTTTTCAAAGCTTTGTGACCATTAGCTCCTTGCTTAAGAGTAATTGCAGCTGCTCAGATCCCCTTTTGTTAGGGTGAGGGTTGTTATGGGGAGATGGCTAATCTTCACATCAACTCCATTCCCTGTAGGTTAGGGCTTCCCTGGGTTCCTAAACTCACCTTCAGCAGACATTTTATTCAGGCTCAGTGGTAGAGTGGATTTTCAGGATCAAATCTTCATTTTATTAATTGTTCACATGATATGGCAGATACTAGATGTATTACATAAGGGTGCAATGTAGCTTCGTTTGGGTAAATTGACTTATTTTGGTTCATTAGTTTTAGGACTGTCCCCACTAAATCTGCAACTTTTTATTGTTCATTTAAATTACATTGTATTTCTAATCGTTGCTTTCTTTTTCGGGAAGGTTTAGTTAACATTTCAACATATCAAGGGAAAATTACTATTTTAGGGTGATCTGAGGGCTAAGAACATAACCCCATTTTGTAGCCTGTGATATTTATAATCACTGGGATCTGTAAGATTGTAACCCTGCTGATTTGGTGGGATTTATGTAACATTATGTTACCTGTAACTTAAACTTAAATTCCTCTCTCTTTCTCATATGCAAATGGAAATACTGTACTGTAATCAGAGTAAGTGTAAGTATGGTGAAGTTATGTATTACCCAATATTTAGTTAATTATATTGAGTGTGTAGAGAGTACAGGAGTATATGAATTGCTTTTCCTCGAAACAGTAGTTGTCAATGTGTCTAATTATCTACAGACCATCCTAAGTTTCAGATGGAAAATTTCCATCAGTTTATAATAGAATGTAGTTATGTAGGAGGAAAACTCTCTTGGGAGATAAATGTTTTTATGAGTCAATTAATAATACAGTAGATAGATACCTATATTCTGTATACCATAAAGCATGCCATGCTAGGAAAATACCTTTGTTTTATGCATTATTAATTCCACTTCTTAAAAGGGGAATTTGATAATACAAATTGGTTCATGAGTTGTCACTCAAGTGGTTCGTGTTTATAATGCATTTTAATATATAATTTAGTAGCATGGCCTTAGCACCTCCTGTTAACATATGCTATAAAACTGTGAAGCTCAGGGGTCTTGTGTGTATTATGTGATGAGAGGTGTAAATTGAAATTACTGTACTGTGTATTGGCTCAAAGTTTTACTTGGTAGACTCTCTTAATTGTGGAAGATATTGTTAAAGAGAAATGGGTAATAAACTATTAAATATCCATCTTCTCTTTAATAAACTCAGCTGTGTAGGTTTTATTATTATTAACCTCTATTTGGCATCACAGTAATCATCTTCTTGATGATTTAATGTTTTTGGTTAGATAGCATGATGATCAACTGATAAAATCTTACAATTTTGTTAGAACAGTATATTTTTAAAATCTGTAGATGCATTAATGGGTAACTCACTCGCTGGTAGCTTTGGGTTTTGCTTATGTTGCCTTTATTTATGAGACTATAAAGAAGAGAGAAAGAAAAACCTGAGAATGTAACATCAAAAATTTTGCTAAAAATGTACAGAACACTAAAATATCATGACAATATTAGCTACCAGCAACTGCATCATCCTGTATAAGACAATTGTTAAATTTTGAGAAAAAAATACAACACTGCACATTGTTTTAAAAAGTTAATCAATATTTCTTATCGGAATTAATTATTTTTCTCATTTGAACAAACTATTGATGGTTCTTTCAGATATGACTATGACAAATATAATGAAGATGTCACTTGGGTGGAATCCTTCAATGCTCTCAACGACCCACCCCTGAATGTTAGCTTACTGCTCCTCATGTGCCCTGCCCTGCCAATCTTCCAAAGGTGAGATTATTTTGTTCTGTCTATCACTGAAATATGTGGGGAAGCTCTACATTTGTCTCTCCCTTAGTGGAGTTAGAAATGGGGGACTGATACATGTATAAGGCCATCACAAAAGGATGGTATAGTAATGGACAAAAGTTTGCTCCCCTTGGTGAAACTGAGCTATGGGAATAAGTCTCCCAACTTACTTACCCAGACTGTCATCTGGTGCGGGTGTGCTATTTTATCTCATTAGGGTCGATACTGCTTCAGTTAAAGTTTTGACCCCCAACTGTACATGTATGAGGTCATTACAAAGGGATAGTACACATGTATTAGGTCATTACATAGGGATAGTACACATGTATTAGGTCATTACATAGGGATAGTACACATGTATGAGGTCATTACAAAGGGATAGTACACAAGTATGAGGTCATTACATAGGGATAGTACACATGTATTAGGTCATTACTTAGGGATAGTACACATGTATGAGGTCATTACAAAGTGACAGATACCTTTTAGTTTTAATTGATTGAGGCTCTGAAAAGCATCTTATTTTTTCTTGATAGTCTTTATGGTCTTAGAAGGATTAATTGTTTCGCAGTAAGCCTGTGCTCAACCGGTGTGTCCCACTGAAGGGTGAAGGCCCCTCAGGACTGGTGTATAATCTCTATGGCTACCTCAACACCATGGACATCTTGGAGCAAGTATTAGCAGACTTGTATGCATCCTGGCACCTGATCCTCATCTTCATCTTCATCACTTTGGGTAAGAGTTAAGACTACAGTAAAATTTATGGTTTTCAGAGTCTTGTAACTTGTAAGTGAACTGTAAGATGTACCATAACCAAGCACCTCACAAGTCACAAGTCGAGGAGAGACGGTATATTTCAGTGCTATTGTAATCATCAGTCAGTGGCTTTTTTACACATGCCTTGCTTCTACCCAGCACGATATATGCATTAATATAACTTAGTGGATTTTTTTTTATATTGAAGTATCTATTATGCCATACAAGAACAACCACCTTAACCCCATCTCTAGCTGTTGGTGATATGGCAAGCTGGTGTACCAACTTATGGTGATGCACTGGGATCATATCAAAGCATTTTGTCTAGCGTTGCAAATTGTAGCGACAGAAAATCTAACTATACTGGGGGACTGTACCTAATTATGACTTATACCACTGTCTCCTCTTGATTAATGTGGCTGCATAAACACTGGAAATTCTCTATTAACTCCTTTTGTTTGTGTAATCTTATTTGGTAATATTTTATATTTGTTACAGGTACTTGGACTCATTTTTGTCTTTATATTGCTGTTTATTTATTGGTTGTGGTTATAGACAATACAGTACAGTATTATGCAGTAGCAATTATTTGTATGTTCAGTATTGTTTTGATTTAATTCTATTCCCAAAAATTTGTAACAACAAAGGGTTTTTGAATTGTAAAATTGTGGATTTGTGGTGTTCTGTTGTATTAGTGTTGTTATGGAACAAACTCCTTTTCTTTCAGGTTTGTCATGTGCGGTGATGCTGTGTTTACATTTCATAGCTGGGATAGTATCATATGCTGTTATGATAGCTGTTTCAGTTGCCTCAGTTGGTAAGTATCTTTTTAGTCTAAATGACTTGGTGTATCTTTTTTGAGCGAAATTAATCAAATGGAAGTACTGTTTGTGACTTACATCTTGGGTAAATGGCACACTGCTATTTTACAGTGGCAACAGTCCTTTTGTGGTGGAGCTATGCCAGCATCCATTTGCAGCTTGACAGTTCTCCAAGTGACTCGCTCTTGGATGAAACAGTCCGCAATGAACGAGCATTGTTGGTGTATGCCATCTTATCTACTATCATAACTGTAAGCCAAATAGACTTTTGTTTTAAGATAAACATCTAAGAAGTATTTGATAGGCTGCATAGTGTTTCAGAATTTTTAAGATATAATAGGCTGAGGATTTTTTATGGTTTATTTTCTGGTCTTTTATGTTTGGTTTGCAAACATATTGGAATCCTTCAGGGGCTTTAACAGCCTGATATCAGGATCTGAGTTGTTCAGTGGGATCATTTAGATTATGTTTGTATGGTAGTGACTTGATCTATATCCTATAAGTCTGATCTACACCTCAGCTTCACTGAGGTGGTTCCATGACCCATTGACTCAATTTATGAACACCCCTCAGGTGGGATTTTTGGGCCATACTCATCACTTTATATAATTGATCTTGTTAAGTTACAATGACCTGTTTACTAACTTACTCTTACAATTTATTGTTTCTTTGGAAAATAATCTTGATGGACATGGAATATAATGTAATTTACTTATTTTACTGAATGAAATCAAGGATATAGTGTCTTTAACTGCTGTTATTTCAAAAGATTATTTTGGCTTTCATATCTTATCCTCAAGTTATTGAATAACATACTGTACACTACAGTATATAAAATTGTACAATTCTTCAGTAAAGTTTTACTAGTATGTTGTTGTTTAACCAACAGTTAGCACTGATTGCTTTAGTGGTTTATGTGTGGCCTCACATTGCTATGGTTGCCGAGTTATTCAAGCACGCTGGTGGATGTCTCACTCACCATCCAACACTCCTGCTGCAGCCTGTCATCACCTTCTTTATTCTGCTGGCATTCTTTTTCTTGTGGGTGTGGGTGATGGTATCCCTGGCCACTGCAAGTAAGTATGATAAACGTGTGTGTGTACTGTACTATACAGATGATTATAAGAATTCGGGATAACTGAACTGTGAAGAAATACAGTACAGGTACACTTAAAAAAAAAAAAAGAGAAAAGAAGATTGAAATATACAATCCCATTTTGTGGTCAAAGGAAGATACAAATGATCTACAATATCACTTGCTCGAACATCAACATAGTATTTTATTTTTTTAAATTTTGAAGTCAATATTATGAGGTTAACTGATTAGAATTTGGAATAGATAGGTATTTCTATTGTTTATTGTCTCTTTGACTTGTTTACTATGGATATTGGTTGAAATTATACCTGAGCAGCTAGTGTAGTTATTTCCTTTTATTTGTCTATGTAACAGAAAATAGAACTTGTGACTTCTGACATATTTCTCTCTCCAACAGAGCATCTGAGTATTGCTAGTCTACAATCTACTCAGTTTGAGGCCATCAGTAATCGTTCTGCTGAGAAACTGACTGAAGTTTCCTCAAACCTGAGCTCTACACAACTTAAGAGTTAGTTCACATATACTGTAGTTCACATACAACAATATTATAAAAAGTTTTATGTACAAAAGTCTCATAGATGGCAATTGATTTACAGACCTCACTAACCTGTTTGGTAGAACCACTTATTATCATGCCTTGGATACCAGTGGCAGGGTGCTAATGAAGTAAACTAGTTGCTTTTTCAACAATATCTGAAAGGTTTTTGAATAATGTGGATGCTGCTACTAAAAGATTAAAGCTTACTGAACCAAGGTAACTAAGGGTCAATGTCTAATTGTGCAGTTATACCTTCATCTCCCTAAATATGGGAACTTCAGGCACCTCTTCCCCACATATGAGCTGCCTTAGATCTGTCTCTGGTAGATATCTGAAACACTCCACTTCTGTGATTTTATATCCACACAAGCTAATACTTTTCTCCCTCCCTCCCTTCTCACTTTATTTTCATAACTAATACTTTTATTCACAGTGAATATCAACCTGCTTCTCTTGCACTGCAAATTTCATTAGGGTGCTTCAAGTCTTCCCCAAACCTTATTTCTTTCCTCCTCCTCTTCATTTCTTGGCAGGTGTTATTTTCACTACAACCCACCTTTCACTCCTTACTTTTAATGTGATCCATAAATTGTTATGAGATTGACATTACATTCTACCATAACTCCTTATTTCATCATTGCTACCCTTTCAGATGCATCTAACTTTGTTATTTCCCATATTTTTATCCAATTTACCTTTCCTTTGCCCTTAAAATTTGTTTTGCACAAAACCAGAACATCCAGGATCCTTTCACCAATGACAGTTTCACTCGGTTTCTCTTTATCACTTTCACTGCGGTACATCCACTCCATTCACATATTTGAAGTTAATTTGCTTTTTCTTCATGCCAGTAACTCAGTACAAGTCGGTAGGGCTACCAATCCCTTGCCCTATGCCTATACTAGAAAGGGCAGTTTATCAAACCTATAACCTGCTCCTGTTATTAATCTGGTATTTTGTAAACTATATTACCTATTTTCATTGACAGGTACTCCACAACAGGTGTTGGAGTACATGGATCCCACATGGGTACGCTCCCTTTGGTGGGTGTGGGTAATAGGACTAGTTTGGGTAGCAGAATTTATTCTAGGATGCCAGCAGATGATTATTGCAGCAGCTGTGTCAACTTGGTATTTCTCAAGGTTAGTATATACAGTATATTAACTATGTTGAGACCTCCTGTCTGGCTAAGTTTTCTTAAAATTGTCTGAGAAATAGGGTGATTGAGCTGGATCTGTGAGTAATTAAAAGTCCCCATATTAGTTATGGAAGCTTATACTTGGTGTATACTGTATTGTATTCAAGACTGTTTAAGAATACTGCAGTCCACTAATTTGTTATATCTCTTAATTCTCTCTTACATGTCTTCAGGCAGGAGGGGCGAGGAAAAATAAGGCATCCAGTGTGGTGGTCATGGCGAACACTAGTGTTCTATCATCTAGGGACTGTAGCAAAGGGGTCTTTGCTTATCACGATCTGCAAGCTACCCAGGTTGATCATACAATGGCTAACTAAGAAGTAAGCCCAGCTGTAGTAGTTGATTTTTAATGTACCTTTTATGAATATAAATTAGTGGCTTTATATTTTGTTTGTGTAGGATACCTATTCTCTTTATTAATCAGTGTGTGGGTGGATGGGTGGGTGGGATTATTATATATATACTCAGAGTACTTTTCAGTGAGGGGGTTTCAGAAAAACAGCTTTGCGAGTCATCTTTCAGCAAAGACATCATTAATAACCACTTAAGGGCAGTCACTGGGTCTGCATCTCTGTATAGCCAAGGAAAATTCAAGGGTACAAATAAGCCTTGAAGCCTTGGTATACAGAGTTGCTTAACCATGACAGGTTATAATTTGAAGACTGGTATTAAAATCTCTTATTTTGTAACCAAGTTGGGATCAAGTAACTCATTATCCTTCCCTCATCCCTTTGGGGTGCTGAAATGAGCTGAATCTGGGGTTGTTGATCAGGTTTTTAGCATTTTGTATTCAATGTCAGCAGATGAATAGATCAGTCTTGTTATGCTCACAGTCAAACTCTTAAGCCTTCCATCATTATATGGTACAGTTGTATCAAGTAGATGCTATATATCATTCAGAACCCTGGTTATAAAGGTGAAGGATAATATAATAACTAAATGTTTTCTGTATTAGTTAGCTGTGTTAGACATGTCTAATTTAGCACTTGTCACTTTAGTCAGAGGACCAGACCTAATAAGTTTGCCACTAAAGGAAGAACTATGATATTCTTATGACTGCACTATACAGTAAAGCCTCCGATAACGACAGTTCAACTAACGAAGATTCATATCTAAGACCCTGGTTAATTTAGTACCCAATTAAATTTTCGTCATTATTTTCTTCGTATTTAAGACAAAATTAAAAAAATATACATTACATTTTTGTATAAATAATAACTACCGTAAATCTCGATATTATAAAAAAAAACATGCCTTGCACACGGAGGCTGCCAGGCTTGTTAGTGGTGACGCCAGCATCACTAGTACAGTGGTCCCTCGGTTAACGAGCGCCTCAGTTAACAGATTTTGGTTAACGAGTTACCTTCCATAAGATTCTTAACTTCGGTTAACGAGCAATCCCTCGATTAACGAGTTTCTTACGAGCCAACCTCAACATGTTTTCGCCTGCATTTGGCGGTCCACCAGCTGTAGTATTAGTCCGCCAATACAGTAATTGGTTCTAGGGCTTATATTCCTTACCATTTTAGTAAATATCAAGAAGTTTACAGTATTCAATAATTTTAAAAGTTTAATATTAAATATTTTCGTAATTTTAACAATTATTGAACATAATTGAAGGTAAAGAAACTAGTTTCTGGCACGCCATCCAGCCTGTTAACACACCAGACAGGCGTTAGTCTCTCTCTGTTTTCAGTAGAGGTAACATCTTGCTTGAGACTCTCTTCAACTAAATGCTTTTTTTCTGTGTTTCCAAGCAAATTTTTGGTCATTTTGAAATTTATTTTACATATTGACAATATATAATGCAGTGCAGTGTTGATTTAAAGAAAATAATCTTGAATTACACCAAAAGAACTAAAATTTTATGGGTGAAATGGCACCATGGGGTGACTTCTCTTCCACCCCAATGCCTTCTCTTCTCCCTTCTCCTCCACCCCCATTCTAATTCCCATCATCATCATCATCATCATCATCATCATCATCATCATCCAGGAGCCTTCTACATACACACCTCAAAGTAAGTGTACTTTTCTACCCTTTTTGTGAAATTTAGGCAATTTTTGGTGAGCTGGAACCAATTACCCAAAAACCCATTGAAACAATGGTTTCGGTTAACGAGTTTTTCCGTTAACGAGCAACCTTCTAGAACGGATTGTGCTCGTTAACCGAAGGACCATTGTACAGTATAAACAATCGCAGCTGGCGGGCCCTTTGTTTTCACGTATCTGAACGGGAAAAGGAGAAAAACTTTCTCACGTTTCTTACAGCATTTTTCATCCGTATTAAACATGAGCAAGAGAGCAAGTGATGGTAGTGTTGTTTCAAAAGCTAATAGAAAGTGTATAAGCTTAGCCGAGAAACTAGATGTGTTAAAACGATCTGGAAAAGGTGAGAGGTCTGTGGATATTATATGGAGCAAGAAATGAACATATTTTCTGAAGTGGATCCATTAACAGAACAAAGTATTAAAATTTAAATAAACGCAAATGACCTCTACTACCTTTTTTGTTGAATTTAGGCAATTTTCGGTGAGCTGGAACCAATTACCCAAAAACCCATAGAAACAATGGTTTCGGTTAACGAGTTTTTCGGTTAACGAGCAACCTTCTGGAACGAATTGTGCTCGTTAACCGAGGGACCACTGTGTTCAGTAATAAACAATAATGAATCTTTTGTACATATTCTTAAAAAGATAAATGGCGCTATATCCTTAAATGCGCACGTATATGTTGGCGTTCCCAATCCATCTCACTTTTTTTCTTTACCATTAGTGTTCTTCTATTGTTCCATTTATTAACATTAAATAACATTACTTAAAACATATATATTAATTTTTTTACATAAATGTTACTGTAGCTACAACCAGGCTCTTATTTTCTTCATTTTCTCGTGTAGAACTATCGTCTCGAACTCCCGGCTGTAAACACAAATGAAAACAATGGCGTCCCTTCTCCTCTTGTGTGAACATATTATTATTCATTTATATTGTATAAGGTGCATTCAGAAACATTATTTAAAGAATATAGTTTGCAGTTTTCATTACTTGTATTGTTTTTTGGGGAAAAGAGGGTAAAAGGCTACACAAAAGATATGAAAAGGTCATACTTGGGAACGCATCTCATTATTATTGGTTTATTTTAATGGTAATTAATGATTCGCGATACGATGATTCACCTTACACTGCAATATTGGAGGACACATTACCATCGTTATTCGAGGCTTTACTGTAGTGAGGGTTTACTACATTAAGCTCCTGTTAGGTTTGTTATTTTATAATTAGATGATGGATGTTATTTTTGTTTCTTACAGGTCCATAATTTAACTTATGTATTCACATTTGCTGTACTCTCACTAGGTGTAAAGACCCTGAGCATAACTGTGCTCAGTGTTGTCTGAGGCTGTGTTGTTGCTGCTTGTGGTGCTTTGAACACTTCCTCAAGTATATGAACCACAATGCATACACTGTCACTGCCACTAGAGGCACAGCATTCTGTACTTCTGCCAAGATTGTAAGTTTTGCATAAATGAGTGTTTTAACAAGCTTAACTTTAACTCCATCTATGGTCTAGAAAATTTTTCATCCATAAAAATGACATGAATATTTCCATTCACCCATTTGCTTATCTTTAACACCAGTTTACTGTTGATGATATTTAGTATGCCATCACATATTTCTCGGACTGTTTCAATTAATGAGGCAACTCAAGAATTACAAGAATCTTCAAAAAAAATTGCAATTAATTGGACTCCAAATGTAAAAAAATGAACTATAGAATAAGGTATAATTCTGTTTTATATTTATTGTTATTGTCAACCAGATATTTAGCTTAAGAACTACAGGGCTTTGTTTACCTTCCCCCTCCTCCCCAGCCCCTCATTTTTCTGGCCCCCCCATTTCCCCCCCATCTCCCCGCCCCATTTCTAATCACTTTTTTTTAAATTCAATGTTCTAGATTTAAGACATTTTGTCTTTATATTGTGCTGCAAATAAATCTTTTTCAGTCAAATACTTACACATTTAAACAAGTAGTAGCATATGAATGCTATATTAACCCTAATTAACACATGTTCTTCAAAAGTGTTAACAAAATAATTTTACAAGGAACTGAGTACTGTATTTACAGAGTAACATCCAGGAGCCAGAATCTAAGAATACATGTTCAAGAGATGTGTATCATTATTTGTGATTATACATACAGTAAACTCCCTCCAAACCAAATTTGCTTAATCCAGATTCCCTTACAAACTAGACTGGGCTCCAGCACTGGATCCATGTACTATATCCCCAATCCGGAAAAATACGACCAAAATCCAGTTAGCAGGGGAGAATGTCCGTGTAAGTGGGTGAGTGTGTGGCGAGGCTCAGAGATAGCAGTGGGTGTCTCATCATGTGACCTTGAGGGGAGTGTGGGCTGAGTCTGTGGTATACCCTAGGTCAACTCAGTCTCCATTGTTAATCCACTCAGCCTTGACCCGGTAGCTCCCGCACTCTTTCTATTCGTGACATTGTTTGCAGTATTATGGAGCCTTGTGGTTCAGTAAAGTGTAAAAAGACAGCCATTTGCCTAAAAACTCACCTGTCTATACTGTAAGACCATGAAAGTGGGTTGTGTGAGACATACCAAGTAAATTAAGGCCTAGGGTGCACCACTGTGTATGACTGCATACATGACAAGAATTAAATTTGTGGGCAAGCACTTACAGTTGATAGTGCCATGGACAGTGATGGAATTTTCAAGCTTCCTTATCAAGATATCGATATTGGGGGTTTATAAACAGATGCGTTTTAGTGGCTATCGAGTGAGGGGCGTGGAGATTCAAGGTGCAACCGATAGATTTACCGCTCGGTTCTGACAGGAAGCGTTCATGTCCAGTGTACAGTACTTACAGTAAATGAAATTAGCAGTGAAAAATAACCTCAAATCCACCTTTGGTGGTGTACATTATGAGTGTAGTACAATCACCTCCTTCCACAACTGCCTCCTCACCTCAGTGTGACTTCATATACAGTAATCACTTCAAGACTCAAGTGTCTCATTTTAAGTGAATAATAAGTACAATATTACTAACATTACTATGTGCTTCTGTTTTTATGTCAACAGGTGTATTATAGCACAGTAATAATGAATATCAAACTAAACGCTTCTTAATTTTGTACAATTCTCTTAACATTCTTCGATTATTGTATTTACTGGTAAGTTGATGTGGCCGTGGCCTTGAGTAGAAAAATTAATGGTTAGCAAAAACAAATTTTAAATTTTTTTCCATAGCATGTGTTCTTATTGTCATAGAAAGAGGAATTTGGTACCGTAATGATCCTAAATAAATTATCTGCAAGCTTATTTCAATTAAATATCCTGAAAAAAATATTTTGACACAATATACAGTAATGTTAGGAAAAAAATGTTGTCTATAAAAACAGTTCTATTTGAATTAGAAACACTTTTTTCACCAAACTGATCCTGAATACAGTAGTTAATCTAAATTATGTTTAAATAAATATAAAGTAAACAAAAAATTTATAAGATAGGGGCCGTCAAATGGAGGTATTTTTGGGGTGCAAGGCATGAATGGAACTGTGTCACAGCCAAGACAGTCCACACTCCTGTCAGGCATATGAGAGCTCCAGGCTGCACCAAACACTCGGTGACTTTAACAGCTGTCCTGAGCCAGTGCCAAGCCACTGAGAGTGTATGAGAGAATGAGGAAAATTAACTTTTTTTCCCCACAGACATAATAAACATATCTCTATCTATTTTCTATTTATTCTTTATTTACTCTTTATTGCCCTTTCTCTTTATATTTCTTCTTTTTATTTCTTTACATGATTCTCTTACCGTATCTCTTATCTTCTCTTATTCTTGTTCTTATTTACTTAAACAAATATTGATGGCATAGGAGGAGGTGGTGGAGTGAGTGAGGGAGAGAGTCGAGTGAAGAAATGGGGGTTGCTGCAGTCAGTGTCTCCCCCAGGGGTTGCCTGTCCTCCCTCCCTTCTAACCGAGATAGGGAGAGGAAGAGAGGGAGGTGAATACGGATAATGGATAACTGATAATAAGAGGAATCTGGGATATGGCGTATGAAACTCCTTACAGTATTATGTTTAGGCTAAAATTGTAGTAGGTTCAGTGCCTTACTGTGTACCATTGTTGTATATCTGCACTGTCGGTACAGTACATAGGAAACTGTATAGCATTATAAAAAATTCAGACCCCCTTCCTAACACAAAATTTCTGCCAAACAGGACAGGCCCTCCCCTTCCCCCTATTAGTCTGGATTAGAGGAAGTTTACTGTCTTGAAACTGCTGTTGGATACTCCATGAAAAATATTTATATCATATTAGACAGTCAATAAATGTTTAATGTATCATAGATTATATGTTTATGTTTTTTTGCAGGCCTGGCGTGTGGTGCTAACGAACATGTTGCAGGTGGCCACAGTGAACAGTGTTGGGGACTTGATGCTGTTCCTAGCCAAAGTGGCTGTTACAGGGACTGTGTGCTGCATAGCCCTCCCGGTGTTTCATGCTGACCCTACACTTCACCTGTATGCTGTACCTCTTATTGTCACTGCTGTGTTTGCATTCTTTATCACACATTGTGTTTTTTCTGTCTATGAGGTGAGATTTTCTTTTCTTGTAAGTTTGTTTATTTCAGACATCAGGTAAACACACAAAGCATGCACATACTGTACATCTTGTGTGAAGTAAGCATGTCCAGGGCTTTGTTTATTTAAGAGTCTCAAAATATTTATAGGGATGACTTTGTAGTACAAGTGGGAGTGAAGAGCTGTATCTCAAAACTATCTGGTGGATTTTTTCTTAAATTTAAATATTAACCCCTGGGCTTTGGGCTATGGTCGACAACCCTCCCCCCAACACGAGGGTATATTTGGGAACATTTAGAAAACAGATAAAAAGCAATTCTAGTCTTACAAACTGGTCATGCATGATATAAACAGGAAATGAATATATATCCTTACCACATGTTGGCAACACGGGCTAGGAAGAGTCGACGAAGTTTGTAAAGTGACATATCTATGACGCAATAGTACGAGGTAAACAACAATAATTTGTAGGCAGTATGAAGTATAGGACTCTTGTTTTACTATGCTATTACTATTTACACTATTAACTACCATTATTACTACTGTAATTGATCACAGTACAGTGTGGGGGAGGGGGGTTAAAAACACATGATGAAGTGAGTCAAGACCAAGGGCGAGATTCCTACATCACAAAGGCAGAGAAGAGACTGGTAGGCTCTCATGTGTGAGTGAGTGTAAGGTAAATACCTACTTGGCAACATAATCTAGCCAGGCCCGCCCTCTTTTTTCAAACAGAGCCAAGAAAGATTCAAACATCAAATGACTTGACCTGAAGTTCTACAGACACATGACACAGAACATGACCTGAAGCCTAAGGGTTAATGTCAATGGTGTCCAAAGTATGCACTAAAAGGATCAATGCCAGGAATAACTTATTTAACACTTGCTGTGATTATGATGTGGTTGATAGTCCTCTATCATGACCAGCATCAAAGATTTATTTAAATCTTTTTTTTTATTTATAAGTGAGATACTGTTACCAAACAAAGGCAGAACCCAATTTATGAGAGGGTTACAATCTTGAAACTTCTCTTAAATAATTTTTTTGGGGGAAATTGGTGCTCAGTTTCCCATTATCTCCCATTACAGTACGGTATATAATTGGAAATACTGTATGTACATTCTCTGCAATAAAAAAATCAAACACTCGACCCCTGATGAGGTACAGGTAAATCTCTATTTACGATACCCCAATTTACAATAATTCGCGTTAATGATGTTGATATATTAAGGCCACTTCCCTATTTTTTTTATGTAAACAAACTCGCATTAATGCTATTTGTCATCCCACATATGGAACGCATCACTCACTTTAGTTGTCAGGTGAGGCATCATCTACACGAGCGCTGCCTTGTGGCCATCTGGTGAACTATAGTCCGAGCAATTTTTTTTTTTTTTTTTTTAAACAGGGATTAGCCCACCCGGGCACAGGTCACTGACCCACATCGGGACCTGGGAGGCGAAAATGTAATAATAATAATAATAAAAATAATAATAATAATAATTATAATAATAATTTATACAGTATTAAATACAATTTATAATATAAAATATACACAATTAAAAATTGTGTGTAAATGAGGCAGAAAGTCATATTAGCAACCTGGGATGTGGTCAGAATTTTTGTGTTGCCATATGACAACAGGGTCTACCATTAGACATCACCTTATGCTTCCAATATCTTCCCAAGCACTAGTAACTCCTTGTTTGATAGCTGCCTACTACCTACTATGGTTGTATATGTCTTAAGAAATGGAACTCAATGTTTATATCAGTCATCATCGGTGTTTTTTATTTTACCTTATAGTGAGAGGACATCACTAAAGTTCACATTGTACTCTGTTTTAATGAATGTAAAATTCTTTCACTTTGACTATAAAGTACTTTTGCTGTGATCCCCCACCCCGACAATGGGTGACCTTACATTGCATCAGGTCAGATCAGTAACATAAGAGCCACTAATCCCCTACCACACCCTCATCACAAGTGTTAAAAGACATATAGAGTGATTACAGTTATGTATTACATTTAAGAGCTTGGACAATACAGTGATATCCCCGTTAGCTGGAACAATTGGTGCAGAGCACTTCCGGGGATGAAAGATTTCCTGCTAACCAGGCGACTTTCTCAAACCCGGAAAAATTCCTTATCCCCGGAATCTTTTCCAGTTACTGGGAAAAGTTTTGAGTGTCTAAACTAGACATCTTGCACTCGCAGACGCTAGCCCACTTCTCCAGAATGTTTCTGGGTCCCGGGGATGTTTTCCTTGAGTCTAAACTTCCGGAGTCTGTAAATGCAGTTATAGTTAACCTGTAAGCCCTGTGTTAGGGTGCTGGTGGCAGTACCCCTCGCCCCCCTGCGTGGGTAAATCTTGTTTCTTGCTGTATTGTCTGTTTAATATTGACTTCATTTTGCTCTTGCATTGCCCTCAAACACGCACAAAAGTGATAACACTGCATTTAACATGAAAATTCTGCAATAACTGGACCAAAGACAGTCTATGAAAAATTTGCCTGGATAAATTGTTGTATGTATGGTTCAAGCAACAAAATATCAACTAAGAGCCACAAAATCTTACAGCAGCCATCACTCCCACCAGTCAGCTAGCTAGGTATCTGACTCATTTGAGCTAACCGAGCTGATCACTCCACTTGCCTTCCCTGGTGCTTTGCTGGCAGCTTCCACACCTCCAAATATTTCTTCACTTCTAAATTCCACATTTTCTATTATTACTCTACACCTTCCTTTATTGTACATATTGAGCATATGAAGTTTTAAATATCAGATTAATTTCTAATATTAAATTCTCCATATAGTTACTGTGTATTACAGGAGATTAAATTATGAGAAATTGGATAATCAAGCAGCTGGTTCAGTGACTGTGTGTGTGATGTTAGTGTCTTGTTTTCATTAAGTTTAGGGGAAAGTTATAGTAGAATGATGACATATTGAAAGCTTTATTGTAGATTTACCAGTAATAATATTTAAGGTGTTAGAGAAAAATGAATTAAGTAAGAAGACTGGTACAGACAGACAAAAATATTGCATCATTTTAGCATGTTTTCTTTATTACTAATCAGAACCATTTTCAACTCATAAATGAAGGCATGTGACCATTTTATTATTACTATTATTATTCATATTAATTTCTTGTACTTGCAATTTTTTAATAAAATCTTCATAAATTGGGTCTGCCTCTGTTTCAGAAAGATATTTTGTTTGAGTCCTTTCATTGGTTATCTTAGCTTTGGAATTTAAATGTGCTAAAGTAGGTTTTTATATGTATCATACTAATTTTATTTCAGATGGCAGTTGACACATTATTCCTTTGTTTCTCTGATGACTACAACACCTACGACACCACTGATGGTCGGGACTTGGTGGCAGACAAAGAATTATATGAGTTTATGGTCAAGCATGAGGACATTGACAGAAAAAAGTCTCAAAAATCTCGACGAAGAGATCCTCCTGAAACCATCAGGTTTAAGGAAGGAAGTGTTTGAGTACTGATTGTGTACATGACAATGTTGGTACCATCAGGTATGACTAAAACTTTTAATTTACTTTTTGAATTTAAAGTACAGTACAGTGTATCACATTTCCAGGTGGAGCATTTGGAGCAAAATGAATAGGCTTTTGTTTATGGTCAGAAGTGTGCATATAACAGGGCATTGTGTCATGCAATACCAAAGTATTATAATGTAATCAATATTGTTTTTGAGTTTCATCGAGTCATATTCCTGACTTTTCAGGATTTCAGAGAACTATAAAACCATTCGTATAATTTTTACTCGGTCAAAATATAAAGAATTATATTATTTGTTTTATGGGCACATTGAAATAGGATTAATATCTTCCAGTAAGTTACTGAAATAACCCTGACCACTTGTTTTATGGAAAATAAGTTTTTGATTTGTCACACACACATTCTTATTGTACCTGGAAGTTGTAATATATCTGTGTTGACATTTTTTTGTAACATTTCCCTCAATTCTGGGATATTAACTACAATATTTCATAATTATTGAATGGCTTCCTGTGATTCCTACAGCCCAAAGTACAGGGTATGTGATATATATATATATATATATATATATATATATATATATATATATATATATATATATATATATATATATATATATATATATATATATATATATATATATATATATATATATATATATATATATATATATATATATATATATATATATATATATATATATATATATATATATATATATATATATATATATATATGTAAATATATATATATATATATATATATATATATATATATATATATATATATATATATATATATATATATATATATATATATATATATATATATATATATATATATATATATATATATATATATATATATATATATATATATATATATATATATATATATATATATATATATATATATAAAATTTTTTCAGATAAAAAAGTTTTATTGCAATATTAATATTTTTGTGCCAGGAATATAAGAAAATTAAAATTGATTTTATTTTGATATCAAAGACTGATTTTGTTTAAGAGATGTGTGTGAACAAGAATTGGGAAATTTAAGTTGTAGTACGTACTGTAATTGTTAATAGCAGCCAAATTTATATCTAAGGCATTTATTTTTTGTAATAAGCTTTGGGGAAAGCTTTATACTTATGAAAATCTGATAAATGAGTCAGTTACAGTATATAGTGGGAGACTTGATGAAAATTTAATTGGTGGGAGTAATTGTTGTCAAACCTTGCTAGTTTCAATAAATATGCCAAGTCAAAATTTCAAAAGTTTTGTTATTTGGGGTGGCATATGGAAGCACAGTACCAAATTTAAGTACATGTAATTTTCCACTTTACCCATTGTATCAGAAAAGTACAAGATTAAGTTTAGTAAATATGGAAATAACTTTTGTTGAAGGAGAATTTGAAGTATTTTTGTCACAATTTATAGTTTGTCTGATGTGAACTATTGATAAATGCATCTTGAGAAGTTCTTTGTTTTTTATGTGAATAATTAAATCTACTGTATTTTGTTGGTCCATTAGTATACAGTGGTAGTTTTATATCTACTGCTCTATTGTATGGGTATGATAAGTTATATGATCTCGCATTTGATAGTGAAAAATGTCCCGGAAGGAATGGCAGCTCAATATAAACATTCTTCATGTTCCCAAAGGATGCAAGTGTGGATTTGTTCTTTTTTTGTAAATACATATACCAATACTTTTTATTTGGTGGCCATTACTTGCTTTGGGCAGTGTCTTTATTTTTTATTACCTCATGTTTAAAGTATGATGTTTTACTTTATATGCACATGAAATACAGTTATTGTACAGGGCATCTTATAAGTTGTTACAGGAAAGGAAAGTTATAATGTTCCTTTATTTTTATTTTTATTTTTCAAGTGAGGAAATCATAACAAATCAATGAATATGGCAGAGAAATTAATGATAGAGGAAAGTGTCATTTTTAATATTCATGTACAGAAAGCCAGATGCTAGACACCAATCATTTGCTTAAGAATTGAATCAACAACACCCATATGCCTGGGATTTGTTGATTACATTCATTTGTGTGTAACTTCTGGTTTTCCCTTCATGAATATATTAAACTGACTTTCCTGTAATGCTAATTTCTCTGCCATCTTCATTGATCTTATTATGATTCCCTCAAGTGGAAAAGAAAAAAGAGAAGAACATTACTTATCCTACGATGCACGACCATTGAGACATAGTACTGTCTAAGAAACAACTATCTTTCCCCCTTTGGCCGATGAATATTGAAACCTGGTGGATTATATTGAAAGTGTAACCATGACTACATCTGGTCAGTTGATACAGCCAACATTTTTGATCGACATTATTTGTGCTTTTATTGATATAAAGAGTATGAACTGATGATACTTCCATACCAGAACCAAACAATTATACCCATTCAATGAAGATATATAACAAAAATCCTCCAAATTTTTTAGCATCTCCATCTAATTAGTAAAAGAAATATTTAAGAGTTGCACACTCTTTCTAGTATGGAATATTCTCATATCATTGGTGAATCTAATACTGTTTGAAAATTTAAAATTGTCCAATAACTTTTGGAGTTATTTCCAGTTTTATGTGCAAAATGTTTGTTTTGAGTTAAAAGCCTTCGAGGATTTAAAAATTCTTGGCACGTGGTGCCTTTCTAATTTTGCACAATATTATATGCAAAAGAGCAAGGGCGTCAAAAGGTACCACATTCATCTTTGTTGTCGGGTGTAAAACTCATTAAAATTACCCACATGTAAACCTTATTAGAATAACCCTGGTTCATACTCTGAATTTTGTTTACTTTTCTTTGTATGTGGTGTCAGGTGAAAAGCGTCTTGCTTCAAAGTATTAAAAGAGAATAAGGCAAGGACTGGTGGTAGCAAACACAAGGGAGAAAAACAAATAAGATAAGAAGCCTAATAGCTAAAGTTGTCGTGTAAAAATTACAATACTGTACTGAGGAAACTGTGTAAATACTTGAGTGACATTGGTCTACTCTACATACAGGTTAGCCAAACACTGAGAAGAATTACATGATTTCGTCACTCAGTGGACTGGCTGTTAGGCGTTGCAAGATGTGACTTTTCTTAGTTTTAATAAATAATACAATATGCAGTACTGTATAATAATAAAACTAAATAGATACATCATTTGCTCATAATACTATTATGATGCCAACAGAAAACGATAATCACTTAAAACCGACTATGGCATAAGGGGGGGGGGATCTTTCATGAATATTTTTGGGTTGAAGATGTTATTGCACACTGTTCATGCTTGGCAGTGCTGTAGCTAAAGGTTGGCATTTTTTCAGAAAATCTGATTTTTCATAGTTTTTGTATCATTTGTGGAGGGACGATCCTCTTCAGCAATGATGCAGAAAAGGTGTACTCTATTTCTGGGCCACTCATGTGAAAGAATTATAATTTTTACTGTTTTACGGCCATTTTCCATATTTGTGTGGGTTAGCCATGATTGCCTCAGGGCATCGTGTCTTGGTTGCCATTAGGCAAATTTGAAGCAAGTTTCTTTTTTTTTTGGGGGCTGGATGCCCTGGATGCCCTTCCTACCACCAACCTACTTTTACAGAGTGGGAACTGCAGATTACTGTATATGTAGGACTTCCTTGTCACTGACAAGAAAGGGTCCTACTGTTCAATCCCAATGAATTCAGACTGGAGATCACATTCTGTATCATTAATTTGGGCTCATTTTGTTTAACATTGGATAAATCATGAGTAGGGCAGATGCAGTTATACTTAAAAGCAATGTGATATAGTGGCATACACTGACTTTTAATTTTCCAGACCACAAATTATATATAAATAGGTATAAGTTTGTTTCTTCTACATTTGTATAGATTGTATTAAAATTCATTATTTTCCCTCTACAGTATATATTTCTGTATTTAAAAATGATACGTAGTTCAGTGATTTTATTATTCTAAAAAATAGAAACGGATTTGTTTACATCTTAATATGGAGGATTTTTGGTTGTCTTCTGACAGAAGTAATACAGAGCAGCTTTTGTTTGTATGCCGTACAAGCTTAAGTTGGGGAACAAGTGTTTTGTGTGGAATAATACTGATATTCTATATTATTGCAGTCTAGATTGAGAAAAATAGCTTAATTTTATATACTGTATTTGATTCAACCAAAGTTAAACTAAGATGTTCTGGTATGATTGTTCATACAATTTGTACCTTCTAAATAGTTGTTGTACAGTATCAGCCTAGACATGTAAATTTGGGAGAATTGAATGTTGTGCTATATGGATATTTGTAATTTTAATGAAAAAAGAAAACATATAATATTGCCTTTATGGAGAATCTTTCTGTATTAGTTGTGTGTGGCTGCTATGACTTTTTTTTAGTTCACATCCAATATCCAGTTACCAGCATTGTTTCTTTCACACTTAAGTTAGTGTGACCTTTTTGTTATGTTTTTGTACAGCATGTATTAATATATCTCAAGCAAATTCAACCTAACAGTAGGTTAGTGATGTCTTATGGTAATGATTATTGCTTTGTGCATTGTTCAGTTTGCAAAACATTTGGTAATATTCATATAATGATAGTCACTTGTAATGCAAATTCTGTACTGAAGATTTATCTTGGCTGGTGAAGTACTGTATTACACATAGGATAACACTTGCGCCAGTCTTTCTTGTGTTTCTTGGATAAACACTCTTTGTCTTTTGGCTAATTTTCAGCAAAATTGGAACTCATGAAGATAAATTATCCCAGGTACTGTCAAGATGCTTGAATTTTGGGTGGGTTAAGCTAGGGTGCCAAATCTTCAGATAGGTATTTAGGTCCACTGTCGAACAAAGATTAGGCACCCCTAGGGGCAACAGTTTTTAGTGACATTTCAGGGGACTAATGAGGTCTTCCATGACTTCTTGACCTGGGGGAAACACTTCAAATGACCTCTTGTTGAACTGAAATTATTATATAAAGAGACATGTTTCTTATTAGTCAGTCAGATAACAGTAGACCATGTCATGCAACCTTCCAAACTGTTGTGTTACCTTTGCTGTATGAGGATCCCTTTGCTACTTATTAATTGTTTTAAAAGAAAATGGACTTCTAAAACCTGAAATGAATTGTCGAAGTTGCCATAATCAGATGAACTGGATGAAACACTCAAAAGGAAAGGATGACTGCATGGAAATGCCAGACCAAAGATTGTTAGAAGTACAAATTCACAGCTTCCATAAGGAGTGGATTTTTTTCCTATTGCCTATGTGTCACTTCAGAAATGGGTCCATGCAATATATGTATGAAGTGAACATATTGGCTAAAGAACAGCATGCTATCATGTAAATATTTCCAAGAAAATGTTTAGTGATTGCTATTTATTTATATGTTTTTTAAGTGTGCAAGAGGCATTTTCAAGCAAATCTAATCCAACTCAGCAATCCCAAGATTATTAGGCACCCTGGGTAGTGTTGGGGTGCTTAAACATCAGTTGGGTTAGGCTGGGGTGCTTAAGCTTTAGTTGGGTTAAGCTGAGGTGCTTAAGCTTTAGTTGGGTTAGGC